AGCTGAGTGAGGAAGGACCGAGAGTAATTAGTAGTCCCCACGAAGGCAAAAAAAGTCTAAGAAGACTCACAAGGATATCGATTCTTCTGAGAAAAGGAAAGGGAAAAAGAGACCCGTAGCAGAAGAGGATCCAAACAGTCCTCTGCCAAAACCTAAAAGAAAGAAATCAAAGAAGACCCAAACCACAGAAGGTGAGGTCACAGAGGCCGAGATTCAAGAAGGCCCTGCAGAGGCTGTACCTAAGCGTAGAAGGTTGCGCATGGTTGTTCGAGAAGAGTCCCCCACTGAAGTTTTACAGTGCCCACAGAGGTGGTAGATTTGGGGACAGAAGTCGTACTCGACATCGAAGAGGAAGAAGTAGATTTAGAAGAGGGTGAAAAAGATGCCGAAGGCACACATCCAAGCCCCCCTCCCAATGCAACCCACATGGCTAGGGACCCTGTTCTAGAGGGAACCCCTATTGAAGAAAGCATGCACACGCTGAACCCTGAACCGACCAACCTCGCAGAGGACATTCTTTCATCCTTTGTCGAATGCACAAACCGAGAACCCTATTCTACTCCATCATCCTCTCAAAAGGATGGTAGTTTTATCAAAAGAGTATGTTCGCCCAAGGACTCGACACAACCAAGAGAGGCATCTGTTGCCCCTCCACACGTGAGTGAACCACCCAGTCATGCTTCAGAGACATGCGAGAGAATCACCAAGGCTGCGGGTCTAGAACACCTAAAGTCTCCACTCGATCACTCTGCCGAGTTAGGCTCTGAACCTATTAGGCACGAAATTGACAGAACACCAGTAGGCTCTCCAATTGGGGATGTCCGAGGATCTGGTGGAAGTCCCCGAGATGACAATGCCAAATCGGTCACTGAGGGCGCCTTACACTCCAAGGCTACTAGGTCACCATGTGTTGGTGATCTAAGTTCCCCAAGTGCCTATGTAACGAAGGAGGAGCTTCAAACCTTCACCACAACGGTATTCAAGAGGTTGGATGAGTTGAAAATCTTGTTCTCCTCCTCTCCGGCGACAGAGGCTCTTACACCTCTCACAGAGGCTCTGAAGGAGTTGACTTCTACAACTTCTGAACTCAAGGCGACCTTATCAGCCCTTCAGAGCTCTGTCCTCAAAAAGGATGATCTCACAGAAGCCTTCAGCGCGCTGTCTCTCAATCCTTCTTCCATCAACACACTAAAGACAGAACTGACAGAGGTCGCCGACCAATACGCTGCAGATTTAATTTTCACCGGCTACACGAACTACTCCGCCTTTAAAGATGAAATCAAAGAGATGTTCTCCTCTGCGATCACTTTAGGCATTGACTCTTCATCCTCCAAGGCTAACATTAACCATCTAGCCACTCGCAGAGAGCTAGACGCAATGGTTGAGGCTCTCGGAGAGACTGTGCGGAAACATCACGACCATCTTCTTAAAGAGACCCGAGCTACTAACGAATCCATCAGAGACTGCACGAAGCAACTCGTCACAGAAGGTCACTCATTCTGAAACGAAATCTATCGATGCGTCTCTAAAATGAAATGGGCCACAGAGATGGATATCAACACCGCCACTTTGAATGCTAAAATGGTAATAGAGAAGATGGAAAAAGCGGCCTCCAGAGTACTCAGGCGCTTGAAGAAGGCTCCCCTCACCTCATGCAAGGCAGAGGCTACTCAAATCCGTGATGATCAGGGAGGCAATGACCCTGATCGTCATGAGGGGGAGAAGAAGACTGAGTCAAAGAAACCACAAAAAATAGTGGACTCTGCTGCAGCCCTATTCTCCAAAGAAAAATCTTCAGAGCCTACGGGGAAAGGTAAGGGTAAAGTGGTAGAGGAGTCGCCAAAGAAAGGGTCTAGCTCTGAGACACTGGAGGAGATCAATGAAGATGAATATGATGACCCTGATCTGGTTCAAGCCCTCAAGGCTTCCTTGGCAGAGGCTCGAATGAAGCAAGGCAGAGCTCCCATCCCCAAAGTCGGAGAAGGCTCTTCCAAACTAGCAAAGATACCTAAAGAGACGTCCATGGGTACGTTCGACGCTCTGGTAGGAACAGTCAAGCCAATCCTACCAGAGGGGTCTACCCAGAGGCCAATACTTGAAGAAGACACCAGAACGCCAGAGTCTGTCACAGTGGGGAGGGTCTCTGAAATTATTGATTCGATGAACAAGATTCCTACGCAGAGGATGCGTACAGAGCCCGTAACCACTGTTGAAGAGATTCTGTGGTGGCGTTACTCATCCACGGACACAGAGCCCCCATACGATCCAGAGCTAACTGGCATGCCCTCTGCCGAAGCAAAGTTTCACTTCACTAAACTCACCAAGCCACCAGAGCAGGTCTTCTCAGAGCATGTTATTCGCTCACTAGAAACCATCTCTCCTCGCACCATGCTGAAGAAGACCGTGCTGTACACTCAATATACGGTGAAGAGGGATAATGGCAACCTCTACACTTTTACAGATGCTGACCTCCATAATCTGTGCGTATTTGATCTAATCTTCTTGCACAAGATCTTGAACAAGTATATGGAGAGGAGGTCAAGCGACTCGATTTCTCTCAGAAGGCTGATAGAGGTGATGCGTGCCCAAGTTAAATTCTACAGCCAGAAAGACTTCGATATTGCTATGAGGTTGGCCTAGCCAGAGCTGAAGATTTCTCCTCCAAAGAACAGACCCATTTGGCTGCATAGGTTCCATCCCAACACTATTATCCACAATCCCATCTTTGGTTTTGTTTTCTTGGACAAGGATGAGATCCTAAGATTCTTCGATCCGAAAGAGGCGCACAAGTATTCAACAAAGTCCCTCGAATGGGTGTTCAACTTGGTGGTGGCAGAGGTGCAGAAAGGGCAAATAAGGGCGGATGAAGTAACGGACCTTCTGGAAATCATCAAAATACAAGTCTCATTCAGGGAATGGATCTTCAAGGTCTACAAGACTGTCAAGACTGATTTGCAATATGATGTAGACGATTATACAGACTTTGTTGTTGAGTAAACTCATGTAATAGTATAGGCCTGCACAAGTTTTACTTCTTTCTGTAATGTAAATTTTTGTAGAGGATGAGATTAATCTCCTCTTGTATTTTTTTTTCCTTTAGTCAAATCTTGCACCCAACTGTCCACAATTACTTTTTCATACTTAGGGGAAGATTGTTAGCTCCACTATTCCTATCTTGTAAAAGTATAGAAAAAGTATATAGTAAGATTTGACAGAAGGTTAACTCCACAGAAGACTACAGAGGACTAGCGACAGAAGCCGTATGATCAATCAAGTAAAGTGTGGCAGAACCTCTGATGTCTCTCACAGAGATTCTGGAAAATAGTCCTCTGTCGATAGAACATGCAAGTCATTTACAGCAGAGCCTCTGAGATGGCTCACAGAGGATCTGCGGTTTTCGTCTTCTGTGAAGTTTCTGTTCTAACTGTTTTTCGAAGGTTGTTAGCCGCATGTACTTCTCACGTGACTAGGGAATAATCGACTTTATTAGGACGTCTCAGATGAAGACACGCGTCAAAATCTTGTCACTAAGGTCGTTAGGAACTAGTATAAATAGCGGATAGGACCTTTGTAATCGGTGGTGCTTCCAGTATTACAATTGTCAAAATTTTCAATTGAATCAATTGAAAAACTTTGGAGCAATCTTCATGCATTCATCTTCTTCGTTGAAACTGTGTGTTCTTGGTGTGTTTAGAAATTCTAATCACTTACTCTGTTTTGCTCTTATTATTATTTCCGCTGCACTTCAATTGTTTTAGAGCTTATTTAGAGTATTAGATCAATACCAAAGTTGAATCAGATCCAACAGTTTTTTTTGTAAAAGTGTTTATTAACTTATGTGGTATCAAACTGGAGTTTTGTAAAAAGTGTTTGGATTAGCTTATAGCGGTACCAAAAAGCAATAAGTTGATAAGTTATTTTTTAGTGTGTGGCAAATTTTGCTTGTATATGTAAAATGACCATAAAGGACAGTCTTCCATATTATTGACTTATGGGAGTGTTAACTTATTTGATTTTTAAACGTGTAAAAATTTATTTTTCATCATTTATAATAATATCTTTGACAAAATTTTATATCAATAAGATTAATAATTGATATCAATAAGGTTAATAATTTATATCAATAAGATTAATAATTAACAAACATTTATACCAATACCATTAATAATTTATGACAAAAATAATAGACCTGTACAACAAAAGAATATTAGATCGTCTTATAATGTAATATTTTTATAACCAAAATATAAATAACATGAGTAGATTGTCATTTATAATAAATATTCATCTGGATCCACCTATTAGATCTCCTGTAATCATATCTCTTACCACACTCATATATAGATCGTCACTCCTGCGACGTGAACTTGTGTTTTCATGTGTTTCATTATTGCTACCACATCCTTCATCATCAACATCAATATGAGGGTTGTATGATTCTTGTTGCACCATGTCAAATGCTTCGTCAAAACTACCGTTCATTCTAATATAATTATGAATTGTCATCGACGCTAACACAATATTTACGTGTGTCTCATAGTTGTAATTGACATGCATATCTTTTAGTATTTGCCACCTAGCTTTCCATACTCCAAAAGTTCGTCCAACAACATTCCTCAGTGATGAGTGATAATAGTTAAATGTTTTTTTTTTGCTTCTTTGGGAGCACATATTGTTGCAGTTTGTCCACGACGGAAATCAGGTATGTGATAACGAATATTTGTTCCTTTGTATGGAGCAAGATAACCTTTAGTATTTGGATATCCGGCATCAACAATATAGTACTTATCTGTTATGAAAAATAAACAAACTTTTATTATTCGTTTCAAATGGTAAGAGAACATAAACGTTTTCGTTACTACAAAAAAATTACAAATTACCGATTGGATGTAGAAATTTAAGTCCAGTTCTACATAAGGCTTCAAAAAATATATGTGTGTCATGTGCAGTTCCTCCCATCCAGTCCATGCAAACATAAAACACATATTAAAATCACAAACTGTCATGATATTTTCCGTCGCATATCCTATTCTACCAATGTATTTTTCTTGCTCATGCTCTCGAACCAATGCCCTTACGTGTGTCCCATCGATAGCACCAATACAATCCTACGCATATAAGTAAAATAATTTATTAATCTATTAAAATGATACGGTCAAATACGAAGCAAGATATAGGAAGTACCTTGAACATTGGATAATAACGAGAGTTATTTAAAATATGTGCAAGTACATGTTCATTGTAATTTGCATKTGGCTTTATGATGTCCGCACTTAACTTAAGCACAGCTTTCAAAACAGCATGGAAATGTCTATGAATAGTCTCTCCAGAATGATTAAGGGTTTCTTGAATTAACCTATTCCTATACCCATGTGCTAAAGTCATCAAGAAAATGCCAACAGACTCCTCAATACATATATTACGTGTTGGCTTTAACCCGTAACKTGYAGCAAGATCTGAACATACATTTTGAATACTGTGACATGTAATCTGAAATCTTCACAGCAACGTCTAGGATGACCGTTAAGTACTTCATGAATAAATATGTTTTCTGTGCGAGAAGATGTGCGGCAAGGCATACGCGTGCTATTCAATTTATGACGTATTAGTATCCCTTTGATAGCTATTGCACATGATAGTACCCAATAGTTCTTCTCTTCCACCCAATTTATTTCATTATCATAATTCGAATCAGAGTCATCACTATTCATCCTATTAATAGATAAAAACAAATCAAACATATTAAAAACGCATATAAAAAGGATAGATAATATCAAACGCCACACATAATGTCAAACGTCATACATAATGTCAAACGATAATACAGGATATGAAACCAGTTGAAAACGTAATATCACAATATTAAACAATAATGTGAAACATCATCCTAAAAAGGGATAGATAAAATGAAATGGGAAAAACACGATATGAATCATTCTTCCATAAGTAACTTAAAAAAACTCCATCCTTGCCATGTGTGTCTATGGAACCATAAAATTTTCACGGACTTGCTTTTTTAGGAAGATGTGTAATGCTTGGCTATACATCCTTGAACCTTCTTCAAATCCTAAAAAACATGTCACAATGTCCATGCATTCTTGTGTCGTTGGTGAGTAATTATTATGTGATGAAAAAGTTTGCRTGCTTCGTGATGATAGTGCCTCCATTACATTATCTAGTGTATCCTCAAATGAGGAAGTTACAGATGATTTTCCCTTGGTTGAACGGGTAGGTGCGACATTATTCGGCTTCTTCCTTTTACTAGAACTACTTTGAGGGAAAAGATGTTTATCATCGTCGCCTAAATTCACTTCATCACTATTTTCTTTCCCCTCATGATCTTCTTTATCTTCAACATTAGTTGGACCACTATTGTTTTGACATTCAACGGGAGCCTTAGTCTTATCTTCAATGGCAACGGAATCCCGAAATAAAGGCTCATAATACACTTGATAAATCTCCAAATTTAAGTCCCTAAACTTGGCAAGATCTTTATCGCCCTGTGTGTTAATGGCTCTTATTAGCAAATTTCACTAGGAAATCATGAAGAAGTAATACAAAACAAAAGAATATATATAAAATAGTATTACCTTTATTTTTTCGTCCCACCACTCTGGTGATGCAACAATTGTCTTTCTCACGGGATCCCATCCAATGCCAGATTCAATCCTCATTAAACGATCATACAACTTCACTTCTTTCTTCATAGTGTCCCATTTGTTTTTAAGTTGCTTCTTGTCAAAAGATTTTCCTGTTCGTTCCTTAATCTTCTTCTCTATGTTTCCCCACCCCCAAGCTTTTTGAAGTGACTACCAGGTCTATTCCCATTTTTAACCTCATTCATGCACAAATCAATGACACCATAACGGTAGTATTATTTTCAATGTATCACTAGCAACAAAGTTAGCATTGTTTGTGTACATTGCCTGAATGTAACATCCCATTCCACATATTGCATGTAACACGTATTTCATACATAAGAAATATATGTTTGTACACCACAAAGGTCCCTTAGTATAAGAATCTACCAGTATAAAATACATGGTCCAAAAATTCAAAATACAATTCTTGCACTAATCCAGTTACATATATCAAAACTATACATGTCGTCAACAAATCTTCATGTAGATAAGCATATAGGGAAATTATTACAGTTTTCCCTTTCCCTTACYTTCTGCACTTCYTGCAATACATATWTAAAATCACAAAACRAGGGTTAGACCAAAAAGGTCTAGTGAGTTACCCTATTTATGTTATTGCAGGATGATAAACACCAAAAACTTATGTAAAATAACTTTTCAGATATATAACAAATACAATAACAATACCTTTCACTTTCTAAACCAAAAACTCAGCTTGTAGCTAATACATCAAAACCAAACAGGTTTACATTATTCATTTATCAGAATGCCACTTTTAAACCTCTTGAATCAAATATGGTTTAATCAAAGTTTCAGGCCAAATCTGTTATCTCCTCTTCTATAACATCCAGACTATGATTTCCATTAAGAATCTTGATTCTAAATCTTTAAATCACAAAGAAATAAAGATTCCAAATCACGGTAATCTTAAGGGATATAATAGTAAGAGTTTTATTACAAAATACACACATACAAATGCCACCCTTATATCCAAATGTACACCTCTCCTTGATATGCCACCCTTATCCCATGTACACCTCTCCTTATATGTCACCCTTATTCCATGGTACACCTCTCCTCGATATGCCACCCTTATTTCTTCATCAAAATATTTCATATAACAATTTCATATAGAATAGACCGCAGTCAATGGAATTATTATCATTTTAATTCAATTTTGTTAAAATTCCCATTTTATTGTTCCAAAAGAATCATATTTTTATCAAGATAACACTTAATCCGGTCAACCTCGTCCGGATAACAAATCCGGACAACACTTCCACAATTTGTCTGATTTAACTAAACTGGTCATCACTTAGAATTATTTCTAACACTTTTGTTCGGATTACAAATCCGGACAACACTATGCCATGTCGTCCGATTTAGAATAAGTCGGCCATCCTATAGTCGTATTCCTACTTCTCCATTCAAAATATTTGCCACATTCAAAGATCATAAATCGCTCAATTCACATCCGGTTTATTTTAATCCGGTCAATGCGTTTATTTTTAGATCGCTCATGCCTTGACCGGTTTAGGGCTTAAATTGCCCAACTCCCATCCGGTTTAAGACTAAACCGCTCAAAACATACCCGATTTATACCTTAAATCGTCCAAGCTTTGTGCGGTTTAAGACTAAACCGGATAACCCTCTTACGGTTTAAACTTCAAACCAGATAAAAATTTATACTACAATTATGCATTTCAAAAAGAGTAAAACCTTTATATCACTCACCTTGAAAGTCTTTTGAAACCAAATACTTGAAGTCAATTTGTTCTTTAATCCAGGATTAATCCGATCAAGACTTCATTTTTTAAATCGCTCAAATTCTCAAAATGGCAAGAAAAAGAGAAATGGAGACTAAGCCCTCCCTTTTATACATTTCTAAAACAGGAAGGTCGGCTATACAGCCCCCCCTTCCCCATATACACACACTTACCTTACACAACCATGCATCCATAAGACATGCTGTTAGCTATAATATTTACTTCATGTAAAAGTATGAAAAAGTATTCTGCAAGTGTTGACAGAAGGATATCTTCCACAGAAGACAACAGAGGACTAGCATCAGCAGCTGTTTCATCGTGCAAGTCAAGAATGACAGAACCTCTGATGTCTCTCACAGAGGTTCTGGAAAATGGTCCTCTGGCAATAAGATCTTACAAGTCAATTTCAGCAGAGCCTCTGAGATGGCTCACAGAGGGTCTGCGGATTCGTCTTCTGTGAAGATCCTGTCCT